TTGTGTTCCGTTAAAAAGTCAATAACAAAAAGGACCAGTATATGCTCCTACGGAAGAGTCACAACTTACTAGTTATATCCGTTCGAGGACACTCAATAAATACTACTGTTCTATTCGTAAATGCATCCATATCGTTGTATGGAATCAAGAGACTGAAAATCATACCGGGAACGGGGGGGGATTAGACGGGGGACAGCGGCGAATCTCTGTTCGACGCTTGGAAATAAAAGCGACCCTTGGAACGACCGGACGGCGCTTGTAAAACCGAACTCGGAGCACAGTTTCGACGTACGAAACGGGAATCAGAATTGTGTCGCGTGTTTGCGGGTCGCGCGACTCGTGCGCGCGGACAAAAAAGATAAAAATGCTGATGGACATGTAAATTGCGTGAACGTTCGTTTCAGGTTGGAAATACGCACCGTGCCGTTTATCATAGAAAATGTAATTCAAATGCACGGCGCACTGTTGCCAAGCGAAACTCGGTTCGACGTCTCGCAGCCGGGTTTTACGCGCGTCATCCGGTAATCTCTAGCTCTCGGGAGAGGGACGGGGATTCAGGGAAGGAGGAGGATGGTGGATGTGTGGCGTAGCAGGCTGAACAATTGTTGCATCAAGATTCTTCCGGCGTGCAAGCTGCGATGGAAGTCGACGACACGGATAACTCGGGACACACACACACACACACGCGCGAGAGAGAGAAAAATTATTTGCCTTTAGTGGCTCGTATCGCCTTGCAAATCTCAATCCACGGGTGTCCGTAGGAACTGCAAATGTCACAGACGTTCGACGAGCTTGAGGATGGTTGACTAGGTTGGTGGCCGGGTGTACTCGGTGAGGATGACCCTTCTTTCTTCAATTTACACGTGGACGAGGAGAGATGTAGAAAATCGACCGATGGCGGCAGAAAGGCTGGCGCGCGGCTCTTGCGCGACGACGGCAGCGTCGACGAGTTGTACGACGACGAGGAGTTTGAGGATGGTAGGATCGAGGGCGACCGCTCTAGGGATGGAGACTTCGCCGCCTGTATTGACCGGTTTGAAGGCGACGACCGGCGCATACACCGTAGAAGGTTGAGTCAATCATTGAGCAGCCCTTGAGACACGCTGATCAGCTGCTCCTTCAGGACGCGGAAGGATGGTCGCACCTCGGGGCAGTGGGCCCAGCATTTTCGCATTACCTGCAAGCAATCGTGGAATGTAATTCGAGGTGGCCATAGCTGCTATTGGAGCTTAACGATTGAAAGTATTTTATTTCATTGCTTCTACGTTCAAACTTTACAGAAGAAAGACGCGTTAAGGCGTGCGTTACAGCGGTAAGCTCGACAAGAGGACGAACCTCGTAGACTTCCTTGAAACAGGCCTTGGGTCTCTCTAGTATGACTCCTCGTTGAACTCTCTCCACGACCTCGGTATTCTTTAGGCGTCCATAAGGCATTTTTCCGCAAGTGAACACTTCCCACATAAGTACTCCGTATGCCCAAACGTCGGATTTCGAGCTGAAGCGAGTGTAGTTCAAGACTTCCGGCGGCGCCCACTTGATCGGGAATTTAGCACCGCCGCTACTGGTGTATTGATCGTCGAGCACATACCTGCGGGCGTGATTAAACGTGGAGAACGTTCGGCGGAAGGACGGGTCTCAGGATTTACAGGTGTAACGAATCTTTACCTTGCTAATCCAAAGTCCGCGACTTTCACTACGTTTTCGGAGCCGACTAAACAGTTGCGCGCGGCGAGATCTCTGTGGATGTAGTTGTGCCTCTCCAAATAAGCCATGCCTTTGCAAACCTGCGAACAGAATTATAGCACCTGTTGCGGATAAATGCACCGGCGCGGCCCGTTAATGTTGAATCAATAACTTCACCTGTATGCACATGTCCAACAGGAGGCCAACATTTGCTCCTAATGTTGCTTCATGGCGACGGAGGTAGTTGAGAAGAGATCCGTGTCGCATGTACTCGGTCACGATATATATTGGTCTATCTTTACTGCAGACACCGTACAACTGGACCAAGTTCTGGTGTTGAAGTTTCCTGGAGGAGGAACAAGCGGATATTTGTCAAGAGCAATCCTATTAAGGGACCCGTCCGATCTGGCTTCATCGCAGAGGTCTACTCACGTCATCACTTTAGCTTCCTCTATGAAATCATCTTCGGACATGGTGCCCTCTTTCATCATTTTCACCGCGACGTCTATGGAACCGCGCCATTTTCCTCTTCGCACAACTCCAAACTGTCCGGAGCCAAGCTCTTCGAGCAAGAGCAGCTCTGCTGGATCGATCTCCCACTTATCTGCGTACCGAGGATTCAAGAACGTTCAGGTTTCCAGGACTTTCAGGATGATTTTATTGGAAGTTTCATTTGCAAACGATTACTCACCATGACTAAGGCCAGCAGTTGGCGGCACAGGTCGATCGCAAGGGCTGGTCTTCAATCGGCTGGCCAATCCTCCGCTGTTGTGCTTGTGATAGTTCACCAAGTCCGGTATAGAGCCGCAACAGTGTTTCTCGGATAAATAAAACTCTCCTCTGGGATTCTGCTTGATGTGATAGTGTTTCACGTGGGGGTGCGGTCTGCAACGGAATCCTTTCATCAACGATCGCGCCGTTCGAACGGGGAACGATTCTCAGAACGGAAATACGTACACTTTAGTGTAGAGGGAAAGCGTGTAGAGCCCTTTGGTAGAAGAGTTACGGACGACAAAGCATCCTTCCTTGTCTTCCTGTTTGAGCAATGATTCGGCGCGTTGTCTGGACATGTCACCCACGTACCATCTGCAATTGGAAACGGGTTTCGATCAGTACCTGCGATCCTGTAACTCGTTCCTCCGACGAAACGAATATTTACTCGTATTTCTGTAGACCCAGTAGCTCTTTCTCCTTCACGTAGTTGCTGGGAATGTAACCGATCGATCTGAAAGTGAACAATGAACGGCGTGTAAATGAAACCGAACGTCTGAGAAACGACGTACGTCAGGTGTGTTAACAATTAATTTTGAAAATTCGAGGATACAAGCGAAAAAGTCTGGTGGCCAGTTCTGTAGCTAGACGAATCGAAAGGATCCCTACACGGAAGCACCGAAGCGGAACGATCTTCTCCGGTGAGATGCGCAAGTTCGTCGGGTTATCAAGCTGAAGGGAATTCCTATTCACCGAAGACGCAACGCGAAGGTTCCAACAATCGCCGACTTATCAAAGAAAACCCTTGCGATGCCGGGATAATCTCCGCTCCAGTCGACCGTGCTCGCGCAAGCCGATCCCAATGGGAGATTGAGTTACTTAAGTTTTAATGAGACCCAGTTAACGATCATCCATTGAATATTATCATAAACAACTACAGAGGATGCTCACGGGGCTCCCGGGACAACGCGAAGATCCCGTACTCGATCGTATCCGAAAACCAAAATATAAATCTCAAGAATTCGAAGATACTCAGAGATAAACACCGACAAAAATATACAACCACGTTCCAAACAGAACCGAATTGAACTACAAAACCGCGAGTCAAGGAACCTCCGTCGAAGAGGTCCATCGTACCAACGACAAGAAGCCAGATTCATTAGCCGTTACAAAGCCACGAGGCGCAGTTCTAAAGTTCAAGTGAACGGTAATCAAGCGACACGCGCGTGTACGATCTCCTCCAATCAAGGATCGAAGAGCCAGGCCTTTAGCTCCAGTTATTAATTAGCCGGACTCAATAGGGGGGCCGTGGAGCCGGGGCCAGGCCCATCCCGGTGTCGGATCGAGTTGCTTAAGTTTTAATGAGAGCCAATTAGCGGGTCCGCCGCCCGGTATTGTCGGGGACAACGTGTTGCCAATAACGAGCCGGTCGAACAACCGCCTCTCGCCCGGGACCGAGGCGTTGTCCCCCGGTGCTCGCAATCGAAATTTTCGACACGCGAAATCATCGTCGGATATTTCACGCACGTCCGCGCATCGATTAAGCGCATAGCAATATCGGCCGCCGCCGCCGCTGTCCTAGTTCTCCTTGGCTCTCCGTTTCCTTGACACGCGTTTCCTTACGGTCCGGCGTCCGCCGGAGCCCAAGGCCGGCCCGCCGGCCATTTCTACGCGCAACCGGCACACACGCCGCCTCCTCCACGCCCCCTTTGCCGCGCCGGTAATCCGCTTTTGGGAATGCTAAGCAGTTATTATTGGAATATGAAGCGGTCGGTTCGAGTGAGCTAAGCCTTTAAAAGCACTCGACGGCTCCCGGGATATCCGTGATACCTTGAAATTAAAACGGAAACAATATCCACCGCCGGCGGCGTTGCTTACACAGCTGATGGGGCTGCATTAATTCGGACATCGCCGAAGATATTACTTGATCCCCGCCGAGGGAACGTTGTTTCAGCGATTAGAGTCGGGATCGCCGATGCGGATCGGTTTCGGGAGGGAAGGATCGGTGTTTAGACCGATCCTTCGGGGATACTTGAATATTCATTTTCTGGGGAAATATCGATGATCGACTAACGTAGAGCTCTTCGATCACTATGTTTTATCTTTAACAGCTCGTGTAAGGTCTTGATAGTTTGCCAGGAACGCGAAGGAATTTTCCACTGTGTTCGCTTTGAGAACCAGTTGGCGAAATAGTTCTTTACTTCGAACGACGCGTAACGAACATCGATTTTCATTAAATTAATCTATCGATCTTCCTCAGACTCGTTTGCCAAAGGATTCCCCTGTCGCGTAAAATTGAATATCGAGTGGCGAACTCTAGAAGTTTCGCCGCTGGTAGACGGTTAACACGGTGTCAAAGCGTTAAGGCGACGTCGGTGTTCCCGCGATTAATTAATTCAACTTTGTTACTGCGGTCTCGTTACCCTTGGTACCGTGTGCCGCGGTTTTTATGCAAATCTCGAACGTTCATCCTATGCATCCACCCTAATCTTTGCACCACGGTCCCGCGTCTACCGGATTGTTCTACGCACCCGTGCTCGTCTTTGACTTTCCACCAGTGTTCCTGAGAATCGTCCATCACCTCGTACTCCGCGCCCTGAAATAACAGAAGTTAATTTACCTCTGACGAACCGTGTATTTCCTGGCGAGTTATACACACCGCCATAAGCTCCGCGACCCTGTAAAAGCTTTCGCAGTTTATGGATCAGCACTGTCGGCTGAACTCGCTCGTTTTTAGAACTTACGAGCCCGCTCGGTTTTCACGAACAGATTTTTATGTATGTATATATGAATATGTATATGTATATATATATTTTGTATATACGTACATGTATATATACACACACACACACGAAAATAACTTCAGAAAATCCGATACTGCGAAGTCGGACGAAATTACCGTCGAGTTTCCGTTTCGCTCGGAACAACACGGCGAGTCTAATTGTATCTGTTCGAGTCGAAGTAGATTCGACTCAACGGAGATGAAGAGTATTATTTGCAATAACATTCGAACGGAAGCAAACGAAGATTCCGTTATTAATTATTGTTGCGATATCGCGAACAGTCGTGATCGAGACAGAAACATTAGTCGCTTATAAGAGTAATATTTCAATTATTCTTCTATATTCGTTGTTTCCTACTGAAACATTAATCTCCATTCTAATGATACATACGAATAATATTTCAAGAACTATTCTGTTCGAAACTATTCGATCGCTTGTCGCGTCGAATCCCTCTGCCCGATAACGAGCCCGCAAAAGAATAACACCGAATCAACGATTACAGCTGATTACATCTAATAATTCGTTCGAATATCACTTTCCCCTTGAAATCTCAATTACCGCAGGCAATCGGGCGCGGCTCGATTACATTTCGCCCGCGATTTTCGACGATCCGGGATCGAGCAATGATCGGGAATACGCTTTTCCTGTGGCACCGAGGAATCCGGCCCCTCCTCAACGGAAACGTTCTCGGGTTTTCGCTCAATTTCATCCGACCGCTCGATGATACACCGACGCAACGTCGTTCTCCCGATACGATAGAGGCGAAACGAAGCAAAAAAGGGACGGGGAAAAAAGAGACAGAGAGAGAGAGAGAGAGAGAGAGATGGTTGGCGGAGGAGGGAAACTAGGTCGGCCGGGAATACACGGGAAATATAGAAATCTCCGGGAACAAACACGGAACGACGTGGAAACCGGCCGGAGTATAACGGTTAGCCGACGACGAAAATCGCGGTTGCTCCCGCCGGTTGATGTAACGTTATTCGATTTCTCCGGCCGGCCGTAAAAAGCGTTTCGAAAGCTCGTCGGGGACGGCTGAAAGCCTTCCGAGGACTCGTTGTCTCGTCGCTTCGGCGAACGATCGGCTCGGCCCTCCGATATCTTCGAGGAAATGAAAGGCTCCGGTGCACCGGCGGGACAGCTAGTGAGATTTAAATGAGTCCCCGCACTACGATTTATTTCGTCGCATCGAGCAGTTTAGATGCTCGATCGTTTCACCAAAGTGTGGAGTTTAGTTTGAAAAATCTCTCATCGTGCGCGCAAATCAAATAATGAAGTGTGTACTCGTTAAATGCAGGCCGAATGCACTTAAAATGTATCCTAACGAGAAACTAAAGCGAAACGAAGAAGAATCACGTGTTTGTCTCAAGAAATAAATAATCCATCGTTGGAAATGTTAGCACCATTAAAAGAAAATAGTTCTGTTACCTAATTTATGTATGATTTCTTGTTAAATTCATCTTAAAGAATCTTGTCTACATCTAATTAGAAAGTATAGAATACTTCAAGTGAAAAACTTTCGAGTGCAAAGGTTAATAGAGTGTCGGATTCTGATGGAAATGGAATTATAAACGAGAAAATTGTTGGATCATTCTGACGAGAAATGTAGATTACTAAAGAGTTTGTGTTCATTTCAAGGTAAAAGATAGGATGTTTCACGTGTTACAAGCTAATGATATATCAGAAAGTGATTGATGTTTTCCAGTGACTGTAAAAGAAATTCCGTATTGGCTTTTCCGTGTATTTGCTATTTCCAGTGTTAAAACGCGGCGTAGTTGATTTAACGATCGACGAAGCGGCCGCACGATGCGGAACGGTAATGTTCAAGTGTTAATGGGATCCAGGAGCGGTTTCTCCGCGTATTAGAGGATAACCGGATCCACGGAATTCCGTCGACGCTCGCGCGAAACGTCGGCGATAATGGGATCGGCGCGGGACATTATCGGGACCGTTATCCGACCGCGTGAATCAGCTGGTTCATCATCGGCGCGATTATAATTTTAATCGTGGCTCGAAACTTGACGGGTTTACGCTCGCTTCCGGGACTTCCGACGGGAGATTCTTGTTTAGACAGGTGTATCCGTCGATGCAACAAGAAAATTGAATGCTTTATTAGCAGCGGTGTCATCGCGTCGAGTGAAAATTGAATTGCTGCTGAGTTTCGGTTGAATTTCGTTTAGTTAGTCGCGTCGGAGCTGGGATTAGATTCTATTCCAGACGAGCACAGTTGGAATCGGTGACATAGAATCGAATAAAATGATTTATTTCGATCATTGAATCGATTCGGGAAAAAGTGGTTCAAAGATATGTCAATCGAAAGGATAGTTGAGTAGGTTTCATCAGTGTTAATATCGAGTTCTGAGGTAAATATGTCCGAGAACATTCGACATTCGGTATAATAAGTTTTAGGAATCAGTAAACTAAGATGACTGAATGAAAATTCACTGGAAACTACCGAGCACTTAAGCCGTCTTTCTAAGATTCCTTAATAAAAGAGACAAGCGAGAATTCATTAAGATTCCTATTGGCTTATAATTCAGTCTAGCTATTACTAAATCAGCTTCCTTAATCAGTACTAGTAAAAGAACTTAAGAATTAATGATTCCGACGCACCTGGTAGTCCCAGCGTTAAAATCAGAACACTCGAACATCGCGCTCTGATATCTAAAACAGTTTCAAATTAACCCTTTGCGGACGAAGATTCTTTGACATGTAGAAAAGCTTCAACAGAAGCTAAATTATATATTGATTGCTTAAATAATAGCGAAAACAGAAACATGCTAATCTCTTGCTGTCCGAATAGTTAAATCATTCGCCTGAGTCTTCCAAATATGAACGTTTCATCTCGAAATGTCGACGTCCGTCCGCAAAGGGTTAAATATCGACCACCGGATCCACGACGTCGAATCGAATATCGCGAACACCGAGTCGCGCGGTGTCCGATCGTGTCGGATCGGAAGAAACCGATTTCGACTCGACGCTGGAATTGAATTCCATTCGACATCGGGCACACCGTCGCCTCATTAGCCTCGAAGACAAAATGTTTTCAGCGCGCGAAGGGACGTTAAGGGTCAATTACGCGAAGGGGAGGGAAAAGAAAAGGGGCGGAAGGGGGAAGGATTGTAAAAGTGGGAACGAATATCGGTTCGATTTTTTGCTTTCATGCGATCGAGATTCCGGCATTCAACGAGGCATTACCCGCAGTTTTATCTCGTCCGTCGATGCAATTAAAGCCGCGCGCTCGCGGGACTATTATACACCTATCACATCGATCGGCCAGGAAACGCGGATTCTTTTATTGCCGTTGAATCGCACGCGGAACACTTCACGCGCGCGCGCGAGCCACGGATCCCATGCGAATTAACGGGCACGATATTTATGCGCTTTTCATCCTACGATTCGATTCGAACTTACCTTTTCGAGAGACAGATCGCCTCCCTCGATCGCTCGAAAAGGGTACAGAGCCACCACCACTTTCGTTCTCATCATTATTTTGTCCTGGAACATTGAATTCAATGGTGATCAACGAGTTGTCGTTATTAGATGGATCCTGATGCATTCACGGGGAATTCGGGGGCGTAAACGTGCACGGATCGCATGCGATACGAGGGTGCAGGACTGTGTAGGATATCTGTTATCGATAATCTTTAGTCAGACTGTGGTTTTTACAAATTTCAATTTGAATGTAGACAGCGGAATTATTGTTGATATTGGACCGACAAATTTTATGCATTATGGAGTGTAACGATCTTGCATTGCGCAACGTTGCATCAATAAGATGCAATTTTTTAACACTAGGTTTAGGGAGTGCGTCAATTTGACGCATACTGAATTTAGGAATATTACTTGGCAAACGTTTATGTCGGTGATGGTTGATGCAGTTATCTAAATGGTCGAACATCAATTTTTCTAGGAACAATAGAATAAACCGGACAATTCCGTAAACCTAGTGTTAAGTTGAACAGTGATTTCGATAAGAGTGTGTTCTTCGAGTTTCGGATTGAAGGATATCGAAGTGTCATCGAAGAAAGGGACATTTCTTGGTTACCTTTGTTTTAGAAGACGGAGTTCCAGGCGTGCCCCCCGGCATTATTGGAGTCGAAGGGGTCCCTGCAACATATCAATAAATTTATGTACATTTAATAACGCAACCAGTAAAAAGTTCAGATCATAATGAGCCGAAGCTTCCGTCGAGCAACGTTCAGCGTAATGTCTCGTCGAAGCTCGAATATCGAGTTAAGCTCGTCATGAATAATTCTTACGATCGATCGTATCGTTAACTCTGCTTTGATCGCCGATGAATCGGCACGTTCGAAACGTCATCGAAAAAGCAGAGGCGAGTACGCCAGGGACGATTTATTGGTACTTTCTCCGGGCGAGAATTCATTGCGCACGCGGTCATTTCCATTCGCAGCTTCGCACGTCGAATTACTGACGATTCCTATCGCTTTGACGAACGAAACACCGATACGGTATTAAAATTGATGACAATCCCCTTCTCTTGTACACTCATTATTCTCGTTTAGATCAAAAGCTCTCGCGACTCCCAAAGACACCTGCGAATTCCATTTCGTTCAATTAACCCTCTGTAGGTCGAATTCCTTTTCGCGACAGAATTACGCAGCATGAAATGAACATATCAACGTACCATCCCATACAAAAATATAAGAATACATCAACCTACAAATACAATGTATCCAAAAGCCTCAATAATCTTCCTACATCGAATATATTTCGTAACTTCGAGCTTACAATCGCGTTAAACGTCGCTGAAACTTGCGTATCAAGGTTCAAGTTCATCAATTACTCAATTCCATGCGTCATTTTTCGGTGAAAACTGGAATAGATCGATTCACCTCGATACACCGACGCGCGATTCATTTTCGACAAATTTTTCGCGCCATGTATTCGCATAATTTCGAGCTTACAATCGCGTTAAACGTCGCTAAAACTTGCTTATCAAGGTTCAAGTCGATCAATTACTCAATTCCATGCGTCATTCTTCGGTGAAAACTGGAATAGATCGATTCACCTCGATACACACTACGCGCGATTCATTTTCGACAAATTTTTCGCGAAACAGCCGGTCGAAAAGAAACTAGATCTCGTGCGACGCGTGATCCGCAGCGTTCCGTCGCGATAAACATTCCCCTTTCAATCCGGGATCCGCGATAATTTAGTTAAATAAATCCAACGGCGAATAAATTTCGCGAGCCGGCTTTTGAGCGGCGCCGTAAACGCGTCCGCGGCGGGTAAAAAGGGGAAGAAAGGAGGGAAAAAGCGCGGAGAACGCGGAGGGGTGAAAAAAGGAGACGAAAAACGGAAGTGGAAGAAAAATACACCGGGCGGCGGTTACCGCGCGGATTTTCTGTACAATTAAACGCCGCGCCGCTTTTTTTCCTCTCCTCGCGGGGCGGGCGGGGGGGCGGAGGGTTATTAGAATTCCCCGTGAAAAGAACGGCCCCTTATTTTTTCATCGCGATAATTATTGAATACGCCCGCGGCGAGGAAGCTCGTGACTTCTGTTTTTAACGAGCTTACGCTCCTCACAATGTGTTTTTCCCTCGATGAACACTAACGAACCCCGCCGATTTCTCGCCGAACGGAATCTTCTCGCTTTCAAGATCCCGGTTCAAGCGGCTCGCGAGCGTTTCAGCCCGAACGTTCGCGGTATCCGGCGCAAAAGGAATAGACAGGCTTCAACGTTTCGCGAAAGGAGAACGGTTTTCCGCGTTTAGACGCGATTTCAGCCTGTTTGCGCGCTCGCTGTCGCGAGTTCTCCGCGCTTTGTGGAATGATAGGCTTTTGGGATGAAGGGGAACGATGATGGGAGGAATTACTACAGATTTGGTACACTCGTGTTGTGTTATTGTCTAGGTATTCACGTTTGCTGGTATTTTCGTTAGAGGTATTGTCGAGTAATTGGGAGCTTTGGTTTTTGGTAGTCGCCTTGGTGGACGACGTGTTAGTAATATTCATTGATAAGGTTTTTTAACAATTCAATTCCTTCTGGATGGAAGTATTTTATTTATTTTAGGCGAATGAATAATTTAATTGGAATAGCGAGAGACTGATACATAGTTTCTTTGTTTCCAGTATTTATCGATGCGTAATTTTGTGTTTTATACGTAGAGCTTATAGTTTCTTTTCCTGTCAAATGTTCGAATTTACCTCTTTTGTACTGATGCAGATTATTGTTTGAACAATCGGAGGAAGAGTGATTCGAGAGCGAAAGGGAACGTCGATCGACGCGTCGGAACTGACAGCCGCCATTTTTACGGCGAATATCGACCGGTCCGCGATTTCGGTTTTTAATTAACGGAATTATCGGCACGGTTCCGATCAAGTTACAAATACGAATCGGTGGGGCAGGAATTAAAGTGGACTTTGTTAGCGAGAGCTACCAATTAACCGTCTCCGCCTTCCACGGCTGGTAATTAAACAAGGATTAAAAGTAATCGTTCCGTTTGCTCCGTGAACTCGGACTCGGGGTCTTGACGAACGGGGAGAGAAAAAAAAAGAGAGAGAGAAGACGAATGGAAGGAGGAACGAATTAATTTGTGGACCGTCGAAAGCTCTTTCGCCGAACCGTTCGTTTTTCTCGGCGGCCGCGCATTCTTAATGAGAAACGGAGATTGTTGCGCGATACGAAATTTGCGAAAACAGTGTAATGACGTTGCCAATTGCTCCACGCGTAATTCCCTTGATGGAAAGCTGAGTGTTCTTAAAGAGGCGGCCTGTAATTCATCGTTCTTTCTCGACGATCTTATCATTATTAAACTCCACTGTGTACATAATTAAAAGAACACGGACGCTTTGTAGAAACAACGATTGTCGGTTGAGAAACCGTAATTCAACGGTATAAACAGTGGAAGATTAAAGTACGATGGAATTTAGCTAATTGAAACAGGATAGAATCTAAGCAACCGAAGCTTTGCGATTAACCGTTAAATCATTCAAAATTAATTATCAAATACCCTGTAAAGGTATATAGTTAAAATCACGGACGTTTTCTTCGTAGAAACAACAAATTTCAGTTGACAAACCATAATTCAATGGTATAAATACTGGAGGATTACAGTACGGTGGAATTCAGTTAATTGAAACAGGATAGAATCTAAGCAACCGAAGCTTTGCGATTAACGGTAAAGCTGAATACCGACGGAGCAAGTTTAATCAGGAAAAATTAATTATCAAATACCCAGCAACTTGTGCAAAAGAAATACCCAGTGATTTTCTCGCCGGGATTAGTAACATTCTCCGCATTTCCGTGTCCGTGCTCGGCGAGCCCAGCGTTCCGTGAAGCTGTTCGAAAAATTCCGAAACAAATTTTTCCTCTGTCCCGCGGGTGGCGGGCGTCCGCTTGAAATTATTTATCATACGGAACACTTTTCGAATAATTAACATTAACCGACAGCATTTAGCAAGATAAACGCGCGAGGACCGATAACGCGATTCAATGAAACAATTCGGTGTATTCCTGCGTTATTGATGCAGCGAAATTACGAAGCCCGATGGTTGATATTATAAATTATGTATAACATATTAATTCGTGAAATATCGAAACATAATAGCCCCGCTCCTTAATTTACGCGTGATTTCCATTTCGAGTTCGCCGTACAAAACGCCACCGATATTTCATTAGATAACTATGAATATTTATAACCGGACGCCAGATACTTATGCAAATCAAGTTGCTAAGAACACAATTAGCAAACCTGAATTACGACGTTGACACTGGAACTGCCGAGCATTTCATACGATTAACATGTAATTACAAAAATTCTAATATCTCCAGTTTCTTCAGAGATTCATTACGGTGTTCAGACCATTTTCAAGATCATCTCGAATACGGAATGCTTTTAAGATATCAATAATTGCGAAACAAATCGAAACCAGTTATTTCAACTGGTACAGTACATTATACATGTCCGTAAATATGAAAGTCTGTCACTATCTTTATTTCAATTCATTTTTCTGATAAACTCATTCTCTAAATTTTAATTCAGGCGACTTTCATAATTACGAGCGCATATATCAGATCATATATTTCTGCGTTCCGTGCATTGCATGTAATTTTTCAGCGAATTTCCTGTAACAAGCACGAAAATCCGCGTTGCGCTCGCAACGGGGGAAACTTTCTGGTGCAAAGAGTTAATGTCGGGACCTCGCGTTTCGCGGACATTTCCCGGCGACGACTGCGCGCCGAATGATCCCTCCACCCCCGCCCCCCGCGGCGCGTATCGTTTTCATTTCTTGTCAAGTACGCCGCGACAATGGAGATTCTAAAGCGAACCAGCCGCCACGCGACGGGGGATCGAGCTTTATCGGAGATTATATGCCTCGAAACGTTCGCTTTTCTCTTTTCTCCGCCCTTCTTCCCCGTTTCTCCCCCGTTCGCGTTCCTTTTTTTCGCGAGGCTAGCGACCAGACGGGACGGAGACCCGCGGAAACAAGGGGACGAGCACACACAATTGGCGAAATTCGCGACGAAGATGATGGGGGATGTTCGATGAGCTTTATGCTTGGACGACTGCGATCACGTGTGCGCGGTTTCGATTCGCCGGTGTAAATACTTGTCGGTATCAACGGTGCAATTGCGGGTTACCTCCGACAGCTTTTCACTAGAAATATTCTATAGACATCATTTGAAATGGATTAATGAGGAAATACACGTGAGTTGAGGAACAAAGATGCTTTACTTGGATAATTCGCGTATTTCATAGTTCGTAGTTTTTATGGAATCATGTGATTCAAGCATTTTTCTATTGCAAAGGGTTTAGCATCAGCAACTGTCCATTGATGGAAGTTTACAATAATGAAAGGGTACAGTTATTTTGTTTTTCGTTTGTTAGAGTGAAATGATAGAGATTTGTAAAATTGTGCATCTTCCAACCCTTTGAACGCTGTAGGCTACAATACTGCAGCAGTTATAATATTAAATATTTTGATGAATCAAAGAAACTACCCTAAAATTATTCGATTTTCCACACATCGAATTTTGCATTGAGAAGGAAAATAAAAGATCGAAGGAATGCTATAGCATTTTTCATTTTCACTGGAGATATCATAGAAATTAGTTGCAGTTGCTGATAGATTACAAAACAACC